ACGAACCATGCATTCGTTTTCCAAAATGTCATCTCCACAATGGCAGAGATTGGCAGTGCACGGACGGCCTTGTAGACAGAGTTGATACTCTCACTTGAGTTGGTTGTGGCAATACCCCATCTTTTGCCTCCATCTTTATGAAATGTCCACATGGATAGGTCGTGTCCATCCAGCCACTGTGCCCCTTCAGGGCATAACTCGCGCAACTTTTGCAACTTCTCCTGAAATTTTTTCTCCTGGTATGCAACCGCTGAATAACACACAGAAAAGTCGTATGTTAGTAAATGATCCTCAATTTAGTACAATTTCAAACTGGTTGGTCGGACTCTCGTTAGACTCTTAGGAGAGGTATACATCTCCTTAGAAACACAGCCTGTTTGACAGAAAAAGGGGGGATCCGATGATCGCTTAAAACCCGATTTTCCCAGGAAATGGGAGGACCATCATAATCGCTTAAAACCCCATTTCCTTAGGCATGCATCTCTTTAGAAAGAGTCTAACAAGTGCACCACTCCAGATATTACAAGATATTGTTAATTGAGAGCAATAGAGAGGTTACCAATCCACCACAAATTATCAGCTAGCTTCTTCCGTTTGAAATGATGGTTCCAGTTGCTTTTGAAGTGTCGTATGCACCACCTTTGGGACCAATTCCAGGCTGGATCCAGGCCTAAGATGGCTGCTCTGATGCCGGCGTGCCGATCAGAGATTATTGTCAGGTTCGTCCTCTTGGTGACGTGGATTTGGATTTGTCGGAAAAACCATCCATAGCTATCAGCATTCTCTCCCTCAACAATGGCGAAGGCTAAAGGAAAGACTTGTCTGTTTCCATCCGCCCCACTGGCAATCAGGAGAGTGCCCTTGTACTTGCCGGTAAGGAATGTACCATCCACAGTAATCACAGGGATACAAAAGCCAAAACCATCAATAGAAGGCTTGAATGCCCAAAACAGTCTGCGAAAATGGCGTTCGTTACCTGCCTCTGGGGGTTGTATCTCTTCATCTTGGTATCGAGGGGAGAACACAGTCCCAGGGTTAGACGCCTCCAATGCCAGTATTAGTCTGGGAAGGAATGCATATGATTCTTCCCAATCACCATAGACGGCGGCCATAGCTTTCTGCTTTCCATGCCACGCCTTCTTATAGTTAATCATATAACCAAAACGACTTGCAATGTCAGCGATTATGACTTTCACCTTCAGATCCGGTTCAGCCTCAATCAGATGCTTGATAGCCGCAGCAACCACCCTGGATTTCAACTGTCGATGGCCTTGGGAAGTTATGGATGACACACATGTGTGTGTGTTGACCGCACGGGATATGACCCAGTGGCCGTGTCTCTTGCTGTTGATGGCACGAATCCTAACATTGCACCCCTCGTGATGATTACGGCATCTGACTATGAGCCTTTTGGTGTTGGAATGAGTTGTGTCCCATTCAAAATGTCGAGTCATTGCTTCAGTCTCAAGGGCGTGCCGCACATCCTTCTTCGAGCCAAATTGTTGGCCCTTCGTAAACCCAGTGAGTGGGCCCCATATTGGGACCTCTGGCGGCTCCATGTCGCTGTCGACCATCCAATTGTCGTCTGGAATGTGATTGTAGTAGGGGACTGGTACACGGTCAGGAGCCACATCATGATCATTATCTGAATTTGAATCTGGTGCTGAATCATCAGCACCTTCAAGAGGGTCTGAGCTGTCTGCACTGACGTTGTTCTCTCCTTCTTCATCAGAGGGGTCGCTGACTGGTCCTGGTGTGGCAGCCTCCGTATGATCCTGCTCATGAAAGGCACCTTCATCAGCTCCATAATGGTAGTTGTGAAAACTACCGCTGCCTGTCAGGAAGTTGTACTGGGCTTGGTTGGGGATGTCCGGTTGAACTTCTTCTTCATATGACGAGAAAGATTGATGATGGCCTGCACCTTGCCCTCCATCTTGGTACTGAAAATAGGAATGAGGATCATGGTAACTTTGGTAGGGATGATCGTCATATAATTCACCACCACCATGGATACCAGATGTTTGACCGTGTCCAGAATGACCTCCAACACTAACGGCTGGCTCGGTGTAAACGAACATCTCGGCTTTGGCCAACTTGTTGGACCTCAAGAATTCGAGCATGGAATCTACGTCATCTTGAGTGGTTATGGTATATTCCTCATGCCACAATGACCCAGTTGCTCTGTTTGGGTATCGGTACACCATACGATCTACCCTCCTCGTGCCATCCATGCAAGTAACGTCAGTGCATATTCGATGGAGGTCTTCAAGCTTCGGTCTGGTACCGACCGTTATTTTCTGAAAATTGCCACCGACGTAGGTGGCCCCCTTTCCGGTGTCTTCCGTGTAACCATTCCACCGTAAGCCAAGCAACAACTGACGGAATGCCATCTGCACACAAACAAACCATAGTTTTAGTTAATATCATAAAAATCACAGATCACAAATAACAATAAAAAGTAACACAAAATAAAGTTACGAGTTAATGTTAATGCAATAAAAAGTAACACAAATTAAAGTTACGAGTTAATGTTAATGGCATAAAAAGTAACACAAAATAAAGTTACGAGTTAATGTTAATGGCATAAAAAGTAACACAAAATAAAGTTACGAGTTAATGTTAATGGCATAAAAAGTAACACAAAATAAACTTACGAGTTGATCTTAATGGCAAACACACTAAATAAATATAGATATACAACAGAAAAATGAAAGAGAGAATGAGAGGTGTGAAGAGTTGAGGTTTTCCGGCAAGTCTTATATAGGGAAAAAATTGTGAAAACCGCACCTCTAGGGTGCGGTTTTAGTCTGCATGCAGCCCTACGTCCATAATCCTCTGCATGGTGTGTCGGGTGTCGGAAAATTATTGACATGTAAACCGCACTTGGGGGGTGCGGTCTACATGTCAAAACCGCACCTTAGAGATGCGGTTTGTTCTTGAACGCAGAAACCGCATCTCTAAGGTGCGGTTTAGGTAGGTCAGGCCTAAACCGCACCTCGGCCATGCGTTTCATGTAGGCCAGACATGAAACCGCATGGCCCAGATGCGGTTTAGGCCCACAATTATTGACCGCACCCTCCAGATGCGGTTTACATTTAAAACGCACCTGGGGGATGCGTTTTATATATAAACCGCACCTGGAGGGTGCGGTCAATAAAAAAAGGTGCTAGTTTTGTAAATATTTTTGGGCGGGTGCTAGTTTTGTAATTTTTTTTTTTAAAGGTGCTATTTCTGGAAAAAACTCAACGTCCCGGGTCATCCAATCTAGTCCTAGGCACGTTCTAGAGGTAAGGGAACTCGATCCCTTTGAGTTAGATTGATCGATTTGGTGATTTTTCGTGAGGGTACAATTCTGGGATTTTAGCAATAGACTTTACAGGCTTTTAGTGACAGATTTCGGGTGGTCACAAAAGCTGCAGGGAATTTCCATAAACGTGTTTTTAGATATTTTAATTTTTTTTGAGCCTCTGTAGGTGTTGTTTTCTACGTTTAACAATTTTATAAATTGAGAGTGATCTAGGAGATGGATGTAATTTAATTTGGGGATTTTTGAAAACGTATTACTATTTTTAGAAATTAGTCGAACGTTTATTATAATGAAATAAAAACCATGTCAAGGAGCTTTTAGGAATTTGATAATTTTACATGGTTTATGTTCTCTTGATTGACATTGGAAAACCCGAATTTTTAAGAAGGTTTAAGTTAGGTGAAAAATTCGTTCAATACGAAATTAATTAGGAAAAATTGTCGGTTTTGAAGGGATTACTTCTAAAAAAAATTTAAAGGAGGTTAAGGGACCTTTGGAATAAAATTTGAGGATGATACTTTGAGAAGGAGGTGTTTTGGTAAATAAAAAGGGGTTTTAAATCGAAAAAGATCGTCTAAGAAAATGGATTCTTATTAATAGGTTTCCCAAGATAATCCGGCTAAGGAAGGATTTTTCGAGGAGGAATCGAGGAGGTGAGTGTAAAGGGGGTAAAATCTCCGTCGAGGTCTTTTAGTTTATGCATTTACTTCAGGTTATTATTTAGTTAATTTTCTAGTATGTGCGATATGTGTGTGAGGCATCCCACCGCCTATAAGGGTGGAGGCACACGTTGTGCTATGTGTGAATGTATGGATGTATGGTTGTAATAGTTGGTTAATGGTATGATGAAGCCCCAGGCGGTTGGGCCACTACTGGACGCGGTAGATGGTCGGATCACTATAGGATGGCGAGACGTAACGCAATAGTTGATCGAGTATGTAGGGGTCACTACTGTATGGCGAGATGTAACGCAGTGCCATTGCCGAGTTTGGGTATGCAACCGGACGGCGAGACATAACGCGGTTGGCATACTAGAAGTTGGCACACCGGACGATGATACGTAACGCGATGGTCCCTGGTATTGATGTCTATGAGTTAAGGATAGAAGTAGAGAACTTCAATGAGATCAGGATAGAATTAGAGAACTTCTATAAGCTAGTGAAAGAAATGATTATTTCATAGAAGAAAGCGAGAATGACTTTCGGGCTAGAAAGGAAACTTTAATAACGTGTTAGTAGAAAGTTTGTCTAGGGCAAAGACCTTATGAAGTAACGACGAGACTGACCCCTTCTCACTCACCAGATTGAGGAAGGGTTAGCAGAGGAGGATTTCGAGAAGAGACAAGGCGAGACAAAAAGTCTCACCAAGGTGGACGAGATCGAGGGGAGCTTGGCGAGGAGCTAGATTCAAATTCAAAGTTATTTTATGTTCATGATTTTGAACATATGTACTGGAGATTCAAGATTCAAAGTTCATGGTATAAGTGGTTTAAGCGTTTGGTTGAGGTCGCCCACGTGTTTATGGCATTTCATTGTAATTTCTTTTTGGAAAAGAATTCAATTGTATTTGTTTTAATGAAATTTTGAGGTTGTTTTTAATCGGCTCTGGAGCCAGGGTTATTTCGGTTTGGTTAAACGAGTTGGGACGTTACAAAAATCACAGAAATCAGGGAGTTTGAAAATAATTTAATATCCTTCTCATCTTCCACCCACGCAACATACAAGAGATTCAAATATCGAGCCAACGATATTCAGCGGCATAAATTATGCAATCAAAACAGGCAAGCCCACTCGAGTTCATCAAACCGACCATGAATTCGAAGTCATGGCTTTGACTGTCTGAGACTGCAAGAGAGGAAGGATCGACGCTGCCGTCATCTTCGCCACTGCCTCTGTCGTGCCGCTCTCTTCCATTTCTGACGATTTATCTCTTCCCTTTCCCTCGCTACTGAATAAGACCATAGAGAACGAGAAGAAGATAATTAGAACAGAGCAGACCCAGAGAGAACATACGAGAAAAAAAGAAAGGGGGATGGGAAAAAAGGAAAGGAAGAGCCAAAGACAATAAGATTTTTTGTCCCTCTTCTTCCTTCCGTCTTTACATCATCAATTTCTCAGTTGGGAGCTGCAGAGAGGAGAAGAGGATACGGACGGTCTTGCAAAAATTCCGGGAGAAATCAATTTTTGTGGAGTTATTTTTGGAGCAAATTGGAAATCGATTTTGAGGTTTTTTAGATTTGCATGAGAATCGAAAAGCTTCTCCTAATTTTTTGAGCAAATGGAAAGGAATCGCCATTCCGAGGAGGTGGAGAGAAAAACTTCTTTTTTTTTTTGTTATAGATATTTCATAAAAATGGAAACAACAGATATAGTGTACAAAAATAAAGTCTGTTCAGATTGAAACAAAAGAGAAGGGACGTCAGCCGACCACCGATAAGAGAGCATTCTTGCCACAATATGGGCAACTCTTTAATACCTATTCGGCAATGGCCGAGTCCTTAACTTAATTTCCACCTTGTGTAGGAAGGAAGGTAAGGACCAAGCCCTTGTGGTTGTCACATGACCGCAATGCAGCAAATACCTGCAAATCTAATAATAAAATATGTTTTTAGCCAAAAACACAATAGAAATTAATTCACTAATAATACCGATTCAGGGCACCCCATACGTTGACTTTCCATCGAATCTATAGAGTCCATATGTCTTCATCGTAGCACCTTTACAATATGGGACAATCCTTAACTGAACTTCTACACTTTGCAGAGAGAAAGTCAAGGAGTGCCCACTAAAAATAAAGTAGTGTAACAAACTTATAAGGAAACAACTTCACACCAAAAGCTCAATATAAGCCTCCACCAAATCTGCTCCACAAGCTATATAGGCCCAAATTCCAACATAGGATGATAAGAACCCCGAGCTCGTGAAAGTTTGAGTTCTTTTGTCAAAGTCGCGCAACTACAATCAAACTTGGATAGCTCGATTCGATATTCAAACGAACATAAAAATAAAGAATATGTGGGGATAGATACTCGCCACAATCAAGTGTGATCACTTGATTGATAAGAGTATTGCCAAGCTCTTCTGAAATCTTCAATAGAAAAACTCAAACAACGATCTTGCCCTAGCTATGGAATCCACTAAAAGCTAAAACAATAAAGCATAAGCACTCATGCTCAATGGGGGGGGGGGGGGGGGGGAAACACACCTCGGTGTAAAATTCTTATTCATCTAAATCTAATCTCTAAAATTCGTGTTACAACCATTTATACAGCACTGGACAAATACAATAATCAAAAACTCAAAAAAGAAACAAAAACCTAAACCTAAAAGGAAGGCCAAACTCGACCAGACCCGAAACCGGTCATAATACCCGGTCGGATATTTAAATGCACCAGCCGGGGGTGCTCCTGGACTGAATACCAGGTCAGGTATTTGTCAATCTGGTCGGGTATTCCCACTACGGGGAATCACATCACTCCCTCCCCGTTAAAGAAGTTTTACCCTCAAAGCTTTCCATCCTGACTTCCAAACAAAATTCTCTAAAGTTCTCCAGCAAGGTGCACCGTATTCTTGTCTCTTATTCTTGTACATCCACTGACAGAAAAGACAATCATCCACAAAAAGATGAACGTTACGTCCATGCTCCTCTCCATAAAAGCCTCGATCCCAGGCTACTAGCTTGATCGTCGTCATTCCTTGTTTTGCAGCGACATCCCTCAAAACTTTTGGAATTCTGCAAGAAAATTCATCATAAAAAGAATCACTATAAATCATTTGCTCTTTCTCCACCACAACTGTTTCACAAAATTCTTCTTCCTCTTTCTGCGGTTCTGGAGTGCTTAATGTTGGAGGAACCATTTTGTAACCTTCAAGGAACTCGTCAGAACTGGTGGCTTCCCTCGACTCTTCCTCTACCTCAATGTTGACTTCATCAGAACTCGAACTCGATCTCAGCTCAACCACGGTTTGAAGTAAGGCTACCACCCGAGCCATCTGTGATGCAAGCTATTTCATGGATTCTTCTTCATACTCTCGCTTTAATCGTTGCAAAGGCTTCCAATCATCGGCAGCTTCCTCTGGGGATAAAGGTTTCAAAACGAACACCTTGTGCTGATGGCGCAATCAGAAGCTTTTGGACTTTCTGTTGACCAGATGAACTCCACGATCTTGGAACCAGGTTTGTCCTAACACAATTTAATTTGTAAGCTTGGGCACCACGTCGTACAAAACTGTGTCTTCATATCTGCCAATTGAAAACTTCACAGAAACCTGTCCAACCACCATGGTGGAAATCTTCTCGCCAGGAAACTGTAGCACATATGGAACTGGATGTGGACGCATTGGCAGTCCCAATTTCGTCACTGTTCTTGATATTATCAAATTCGACTTGATCCCTTCATCTACAAGCACATAATACACCTTCCCTTGAGCCAAACAACAAGTGTAGAACAGGTTACCTTGCTTTATCGCTTCCGCCATTGCCAGATCTTCTTCTTCTTCTTCTTCTTCTCATGTCCACTGATTTGAACCGGAGCTCTGATACCACCTAATAAGAAACCCGAGCTTGTGAAAGCTTGGGTTCTTTTGTCAAAGTTGCGCAACTACAATCAATCCTGGATAGCTCGACTCGGTCTTCACACGAACATAGAAATAAAGGATACGTGGGGATAGATACTCGCCACAATCAAGTGTGATCGCTTGATTGATAAGAGTCTTGCTAAGCTCTTCTGGAATCTTCAACAAAGAAACTCAAACAAGGATCTTGCACTAGCTATGAAATCCACCAAAAGCTAAATCAATAAACCATAAGCACTCATGCTCCATGGGGAAAAAAACGCCTCGGTGTAGATTTCTTATTCATCAAAACCTAATCTCTAAAATTTGTGTTTACAACCCTTTATATAGCCGAGGGAAATAAAATAATCAAAAATCCAAAAAGAAACAAAAACCTAAACCTAAAAGGAAGGCCAAACTCGGTCAGACTGATAAACTGATATTTGCACATGTTTTGCCCACTATTCGTGTACCCTTTGAGAGTCGATTTCCGTGTTTTAAACCGATTTCACTCTAGGTTGTGCTTTTATGTCATATTTCAGGACCTGGAGTGGAATGGGAGGCTTGGAAGCGAGTTTTGGGTAAAAAACGGAGAGTTGGCGGGAAGTGGAGCTGCAAGGGAATACCAGGTCAGGTCACCCAAATACTCGACCGGGTAAATTCAGCCGAGACAGGGTATTCGACCAGGGAGAACTAGAAGACCCTCGACCATGAACCATAAATACCCGACCGAGTATTTTCATCCTAGGTCGGGTATTTCCCCTACGATGGAAGCTACTACGCATCGTTTCAGATAGTACCCGGTCTAACTCAGGAATACTCGACCGGGTATTTGGACCGAGTAAGCGTAACTCGGGTTTTACAAGCAGAATGTGGGTTTTGTTCTCTCATTCGAAAAAGCTTCTCAATTGAAAGCCACTGGAAGAACTTAATATTAACAAATGGGATGAAAGAAAATAAGTTGCAATGATTTGCTTGCTTGGTTTTACAATCATGCCTCACAAAGATTTGACTTGTCCCTGCTTTTGTCAAATATCTCATCCCAGGAGCTGAAGGCTAAAATATGTCAGTCTGGGGAAGTTCCCATTCCAAAAGGTCCCTAGAGAGAATGGCAACACAAATGACAGAACTAGAGGACTTCAAGTTTGCTTACTGGTCGCCAAATTATTTAGATCCGACGAAACCAGCCCGATTGGTCATGAGCAAGGTTCAAGAAAGCGCTAGGCGTAAGGCGAGCATTGAGACTCTGTCTAGTCACTAGTGGCTATCATGCTTAGGCGTCACCTAGGCGTGTCTACGCATTAGATGTAAACGTAGCAAAATATCTAACACTTGCCTAGGATCACAAGTTTATGAACCAATATCATCGCATCTACCTTTCATTTCTAAACCTCCATCCACAACACATGGTAAAGTATAAAACATAGTGTGGAGAAATGAGAAAGGAAGAAGTTGGGAAATAGCAAAACATATAGAGAGCGGAGAAGTGCAAAAAAGAAAGAAGGAAACTACTATAAAGATAGTCATCTCTAACTCTAGCCTAGAGGCTTGGAACAATAGGGAGGGGAAGAAGGAAAAGGATGGATGGTCTTTATTTCTCTATAACCTAGTAGCATATCAAAGGTAAAAAAAGAGATTGTAACGTCATTTTGAGGCGCAACTCAATACTGAATAGGGGTCGTCGAGGCCACAACGTGATCATGACGCCTTGTCCGCTGCTTTTGCCCAAGGTGAGGCGTTGTCATGATGAATTATGCTAAGGCGAGTCTAGGAGCTCTTTTTATAACCTTGGTCAAGAGACAATCCATATCTTTTTGCACATAGAGACTGAGGGAACATTACATTAGAGTTACCAATGGTTCATCTTTGGCATGTCACGCTTGACATACCGTGAGATATATGTCGTAACTGGATAACTCCATTAGTACGATATTGTCCGCTTTGGGCCAAGCTCGCACGAATTGACTTTTGATTATCTAACCCAAAAGGCCTTGTACTAATGAGCTTGATAGACACTAATATAATGTGGCCCTTTCCCTTGTGTTTCCGATGTGGTACTTGAATTGTCCTATAACAATCATCTCTCAAGACAAGGACCACAGACTTCATGTCCTCCTAGCGATTATCTTGATCCGCCAAACTAGATGTAGATCACCTTTATCACCGAATGAGGCTCCGACCAAACTGACATTCACAACCCTGAATCCAGGTAACCAGGTTTGATACCACGTGTCGTAACCACATAGCTCCATTAGTATGATATTGTCCGTTTTTGGGCCAAACCTGCACTGATTTACTTTTGCGCATCCTCCCCAAAATCAAAGGCTTTGTACTAATGGGATTGATGACACTAATATACAAATGTCCTTTCTCTTATATTCCTCATGTGGTACTTGGATATCCCATAACAATATAAAAAGTAAATTACCAAAAACTCCAATGCAGAGGATTTGGAAAATGCATTCCAACCAAATATCTTTGCCCCAGTCATGCTCTCGTTAACACTACATACTATGGTTTACTATGAATGACAATGGGAAAGGTCCGAGGATGATGAGGGAATGGGCTGGACTCGGGTTAGGAGTAGCTACATGGGGGAAGGGTTTTGTTTGGGTCGATTTAGAGAGGGGTAGTAGGCGGTCAAATTATAGGTTAAGTTGTACGTCTCGGATAGGATTAAGATAGTTATTAGGGTTTCTACCCTATATATATTATATGCTCGGCATTAGTCCGGTT